AGTTTACTGAAAGCAGTGAAGAGTTTTTATGAGGACAGTGATGCTCACGTTAGAGTATGTAGGAAAGAGGGAGATTATTTCCCAGTAAAAGTAGGCCTTAGACAAGGATGTGTGACGTCACCATGGTTGTTCAATATATTTATAGATGGGGTTGTAAGAGAAGTGAATGCGGGGGTCTTGGCAAGAAGTTATTTTTATTATTATCACACTGGCCGATTCCCACCAAGGCAGGGTGGCCCGAAAAAGAAAAACTTTCACCATCATTCACTCCATCACTGTCTTGCCAGAAGGGTGCTTTACACTACAGTTTTTAAACTGCAACATTAACACCCCTCCTTCAGAGTGCAGGCACTGTACTTCTTATCTCCAGGACTCAAGTCCGGCCTGCCGGTTTCCCTGAACCCCTTCATAAATGTTACTTTGCTCACACTCCAACAGCACGTCAAGTATTAAAAACCATTTGTCTCCATTCACTCCTATCAAACACGCTCACGCATGCCTGCTGGAAGTCCAAGCCCCTCGCACACAAAACCTCCTTTACCCCCTCTCTCCAACTTTTCCTAGGCCGACCCCTACCCCGCCTTCCTTCCACTACAGACTGATACACTCTTGAAGTCATTCTGTTTCGCTCCATTCTCTCTACATGTCCGAACCACCTCAACAACCCTTCCTCAGCCCTCTGGACAACAGTTTTGGTAATCCCGCACCTCCTCCTAACTTCCAAACTACGAATTCTCTGCATTATATTCACGCCACACATTGCCCTCAGACATGACATCTCCACTGCCTCCAGCCTTCTCTTCGCTGCAACATTCATCACCCATGCTTCACACCCATATAAGAGCGTTGGTAAAACTATACTCTCATACATTCCCCTCTTTGCCTCCAAGGACAAAGTTCTTTGTCTCCACAGACTCCTAAGTGCACCACTCACTCAATTCTATGATTCACCTCATCTTTCATAGACCCATCCGCTGACACGTCCACTCCCAAATATCTGAATACATTCACCTCCTCCATACTCTCTCCCTCCAATCTGATATTCAATCTTTCATCACCTAATCTTTTTGTTATCCTCATAACCTTACTCTTTCCTGTATTCACCTTTAATTTTCTTCTTTTGCACACCCTACCAAATTCATCCACCAATCTCTGCAACTTCTCTTCAGAATCTCCCAAGAGCACAGTGTCATCAGCAAGAAGTGTGGAGTTAAAAGATAAAGAATCAAACACCAAGTGAGAGTTGTCACAGTTGCTTTTTGCTGATGACACTGTGCTTTTGGGAGATTCTGAAAAGAAGTTGCAGAGGTTGGGGGATGAATTTGGTAGGGTATGTAAAAGAAGAAAATTAAAAGTGAATATAAGAAAGAGTTAGGTTATGAGGATAACAAAAAGATTAAATGACAAAAGATTGGATATCAGATTGGAGGGAGAGAGCATGGAGGAGGTGAATGTATTCAGATATTTGGGAGTGGATGTGTCAGCAGATGGGTCTATGAAAGATGAGGTGAATCAATTAACTGATGAGGGGAAAAGGGTGAGCGGTGCACTTGGGAGTCTGTGGAGACAAAGAACTTTGTCCTAACACGCTCATGCAAGCATGCATGAGCGTGTTAGATAGGAGTGAATGGAGACAAATGGTTTTTGGGAATGACAAGCTGTTGGAGTGTGAGCAGGGTAATATTTAGTGAAGGGATTCAGGGAATCTGGTTGTTTTTATATAGCCAGACTTGACTACTAGAAATGGGAAGTATAATGCCTGAACTTTAACGGAGGGGTTTGGGATATTGGCAGTTTGGAGGGATATGTTATGTGTGTTTTTACAGTGGACCCCCGCCGTTCAGCGGCTGTGACTTTCGTGAAATCTGACTTTCGGCAAGTTTTTTCGGCAAAATTTAGCTTCGTGGTTCATGACTGGACCTTCTTGTACGCGTCTGCCCGTCAGCGCACACACAAAGTCAGTCTCCCGCACTATTCACACTCAGTGTGCCATTGCTTACCAGCATGTGACCATCACCCCACAGGTTCATACAACACATTTCATAATAATTCATTGTTTTTTGTGCTTGCAACTGCTAAATAAGCCACCATGGGCCCAAAGAAAGCTCCTAGTGCCAGCCCTTTGGTAAAGAAGGTGAGAAACACGATAGAATTCAAGAAAAAACTCACAGAAAAGTACTAAAGTAGAGGAGGAAGAGAGAGGGGAGAATGTGCCTTCTGCATTGATTCTACAATATGTATGATACTAAAGCAGCAGGTATCGATAAAGGCTATAGCTCCAGTCAGCGATCAAGTGTAGAATTAAGAGTGTAGCAAGTAAGTTAAGCGAGTAAGCAATAGAAAAACGACATGAGAGTAACTCTCCAATGTTGTTGGATGAGTATATAGGACCGCTGAACATACACCGCCCTGCTATCTTCCACCACCCTAAACCTCTGCCAACATCTCCTTCATCAAACTAACTAATTAAACTAACATCTCCTCCAAGGTAAGTGTAAATATAAAAGTGTAAGTATAAAAGTAAATATAAGTGTAAATATAAAAGGACACCAATGGAAATATGTCACTCTTGAATTTTTTGGGTTATCCTGGGTACTTTACACATATGCTGCTATGTATGATAATCTATGTATGTAACTGTATTTGTGTATACCTGAATAAACTTACTTATTTATAAATTAAAATGTAAATATTTCTTATTTATAAATTAAAATGTAAATATTTCTTATTTATAAATTACCTACCTCCTACACAATCAAGAATCAATAAAGGTTAAGTGTGATGCTAAATGTTCATTTATCCATTTTATTAGTGCTTTATATTTATTTGTCATTGTTTTCTGTATGTAAATCTATATTTAATCTTTAAAAAAATTATTTTTTTGTTAATTCTTTTGGCTGTCTGAAACGGATTAATTGGGTTTCCATTACTTCTTATGGAGAAAACAGATTCGCCAATTGTGAATTTCGCCAGTTGGCAGACTCTCTGGAACGGATTAATCACGAAACTCGGGGGTCCACTGTATATGCTTCTAAACTATTGTATCTGGGCGCCTCTGCAAAGACAGTGATTATGTGAGTGAGGTGAAAGTGTTGAATGATGATGACAATATTTTCTTTTGGAGGATTTTTTCTTTCTTTCTTTCTGGGTCACCTTGCCTCGTTGGGAGATGGCCAACTTGCTGAGAAAAAAAAAGAAAAGTGATAGAGTGTAGAGATGTGGCAGGTGTTGTAATGTTAAGGGAGTTTATGAGTGAGACTCAAGTTATGGTATGCAGGAGAGAAAGGTATGATATCCCCAGTAAAAGCTGGCCTTAAGAGATGTGTGAATTTACTGATATTTTTTTTTTACTGAAAAAAAAAAAAAAAAAAAAAAAAAAAAAAAAAAAAAAAAAAAAAAAAAAAAAAAAAAAGGAAGTTGGAAGTAAACATACAAATACAATAAGAGAATTTAAGCAAGATGTAGCCCAGGCTAAGAATAAGTGGATAAAAAATTGGAAGGGAAAAATGTGGAAGAAATGAATGCATTTAGATATTTTGGAGTGGATGTGTTGGCAGAGAGGTGCATGAAAGATGGATGATTCATAGATTGGGGAGGGTAAGAAGGTATCTGGAATGCTCAGGCATCTGTGGAAAGAAAAAAGTTGATCACTGGAGGTAAAAAAAAAACGGATATATCAGTACAATTTTACCAATGCTTTTAAATGGGTGAGGCAGGGTCTTTTAATACAACAGCAAGAAGGAAGCTGGCAGCAAGAGAAATTTCATATATGAAATCAGAGTAAGGCATAATTAAGGAAGTGGCATTGGGGTGGTTAAAATGGCATATAATTCAGAAAGGATGGAGTAGGATAGACAGACAGACAGTCCATAAATCTTTGGTTCATGGAAGAAGGTTTAGGGAACATCACAGTAAAGACTGGAAAGAAAAGTATGGAGAAAGTTTTGAAAGGTAGGGAATTGAGACTCCAGCAGGGGTGAGTTGGACCTGACTAGCTTGTGCTGCTGGGTCTGGTGCAGCGCTTCACATCCTTGAGTGGAGATGATCAGACTGGGTGGGTCACTTGGCTAATCAGGGGGGATGGGTGTCATTGGTCTATTTAGGGGGGAGGGGGGCATGGACCTGCTCCGCATGGGTCAGTAGGCCTGTTGCAGTGTTCCTTCTTTCTTATGTATGAGCATGTTAGATCAGAATGGAGGCAAATGGGCTGTAGGGATTCAAGAAAACAGGTTAGCCAGACATGAATCCTGGAGTTAGGAAGTAATGACTGCATTCTGAAGGATGGATGAAACAATGCATTTTGGTGGATCACTGGAATTGTGATGGCCATATTTATGTACAATGGTAAGCACACAGTAGTCCCCCCATATCCACAGGGAATACGTTCCAAGACCTACCATGGATACCTGAAACTACGGATAATGGCAAACCCTATATACCAGTCGTTTTTCATTTACATACATACCTGAAATAAAGTTTATTGAGTAATTATGCACAATAAGTCGAGAATTAACACTTTTCACTAATGGGAAGCACTTCATGGTTTCTCTTAGACTTGAAAGAACTGCCACCATCACTACTTTTGCACTCTGGGTCCATTATTAAGCAAAATTAAGGGTTATCTTTGGGCCACAGTAAACCGTAGATAACTGAAACCACAGAAACTGAATACGTGAATACAGGGGTTCTATTTTCCTTCTTTGCTCTGGTGGAAAATTACTTGTGTATAAAAAAAAAAACGTACACGTCATAGAATTTAGGTTGATGCAAGGACGGTTTCAAGATACATGTATTATTTAGAAACAAAGTTTAATTTTTTTTATTAGAGCAAAACCACACAATCTTCTATTATAATATGTACAGAAAAATAATATAGAACTTTAACTATGCAACTTGGCAGAGAGATGGTGTAGGTAATGATGTGAGGGTGACTTCATGGTGTAGAGGAAATTATTAAGGACAGTATAAAAGAATATACATTTGCTACTCCTGTAACTCACTTGTAAAATATATTGTTGATCTGCTTGCGGATAAATGCCCTCAACCCTAAAAACTTGCCGTATATTCTGTGTAAAGTGGTCTTGAGAAAATCTCTCTCCCTAGGGTCTTCTGAATCAAACAGTTCTAACAGCTGTAACAAAAAGAAGAGAAACAAAAAATAATGAACAGGTATGGAATACAATTTTTTTTTTTTAACAAGTCAGCCGTCTCCCACCGAGGCAGGGTGACCCAAAAAAGAAAGAAAATCCCCAAAAAGAAAATACTTTCATCATCATTCAACACTTTCACCACACTCACACATTATCACTGTTTTTGCAGATGTGCTCAGGATACAACAGTTTAGAAGCATATACATAAAAAGATACACAACATATCCCTCCAAACTGCCAATATGGCAGTTTGGAATACAAAATTATAACAAAAAAATAATTATCCAATTCCCTGTGCATTTGAGAGGGCAAGAATAGAAAGAGGAGACAGAAAGAAAGGGGATTAAGTAGAAGGGAGTAAAAAGAGAAATGGAGAGATAAACAGGGAAAAGGAGAATAAAAGGGAATGAGGGGGGCAAAAGGACAACTATATGGAAGAGATGGAAAAGGGAGCAAGGGGATGGGAGAGGGGAGCGAGATACTGGAAAATAGGAAATAGGAGGCAGAGGAAAATAGTAACATAGATGGAATGGGAAGGAGGAGATGGAATAGAGAGTTGGGTGGGGATATAAAGAGGCAGATGGAGGGAAAATAATAAAAATCAGAAGTGCTGAGTGAGAAGAGGTTGCAAAAGGGAAAGGACAATACCATCAGGCATTGCCTGCCAGGGACATTCAATAGTATACAGCTGAATTAGTTAACTAATTCAAAGGCATCTCTCTGCCAAATAAGATATATGCAACACCTGAGTATCTCTATGATGAAGACATTCTGCCAACCAATTTTTTTAATGCAATACAGAGATAACACACTGGAAGATGAAGTAATCAGTCACTCAGCTTTTATAGGTCTTGAGTCCTTTAGCCTTGATCAATGTGAAACAGGCAGGATGATGGACATGTATATACTGGAGCCAGTATAGCTGTACTGAATTGAAAAAGCTACTGATTGGTAGAACACCTTCATAATAAAGATAACCAGGTGTTGCACTTATGTTTTATTCGTCAACTTGTCAGTATTGTAAACCATTAATGTACTCTCAGTCACAGTTTTACATAATAAATATCTTAAGACAATAATGTAGTATCATTAGAATTTCAACATGAGGTAATTATATAAAAGTGAAGAGGCTGCCTGAATACCTGAGAATTGTGAATAACAGACAGAGTCACAGTGCACTGACAAGCATAGTGAAGGGTAGAGATGGGGAAATACAAATATTTCAAGAGGACATGGTTCAAACTACTGGAATTAGTGCATTGTGGACATACAAAGGCAGATGAACTGGGAAAGGCCACACTGAAGAAACTGTTATTTTAACCCTTAAACTGTCCAAACGTAGATCTACGTTGACGTGCATAGCGCTCCAACCTTGATTTTCTCCATTTGAAAGCATGTAAAATCGGACGTAGATCTACGTTCGAAGCACTACGCACGTCAACGTAGATCTACGTTTGAACAGTTTAAGGGTTAAGAATAACATACGAGGCAAGTCTGAATGGTAGACAAGCCAATGATAGAAGATGATAATTAGGTAGAGATGTGAGAGGAAATAGGGACAAAATAAATACTGGAGCATGTATAGCCTAGGCATTTATAAAGCATAAGTGTATGAAACACAAATTGTTTGCTCATAGTAAGGAAACCAAAGAAATTTTACCTACCTTCCCCTTCCATAGATCAAACCTCATTACTTCCCAATCCCCAGATGCTGTATAGCCCTTATGGATTTTGTGTTTCCCCATGAATACAATACTAATCATAGTGTGGACAAACAAAAAAACGTTTGAAAAGCATATTACCCAACTAAGCTCAACAGTATATAGCTCATCAGAAAAGCACATAATAATGGTGTAGCCCACAACAGCTTTAGGTTAATAAATGTCTTGCTTGATATGTAATCCACTTGCCCACTTTATACCATCTCATCACAGTAGTACAGAAGTCAGCAGTGTTCTCTCTCTTACCACACCTATGTCATTATTGGAATATTCTGAAACTCTTTCTTTTTAGCATTTTCCTAAACATACACCAAAATTTTCAAGTTTGTTTCATGGTACCACAGGTATCAAACTTGTGAATTGCTCCAGCCATAGGTAGTCACATTTTTCTTCTATCTAGTCTAATTCCTTTAATATTTCTCTTCATTACAACCAACCTGCTAACATGTAACACAACTAAATTCAGAAGACCAGTTTAGTCTGGATCCCTGATTTTGTGCTTAATGAGATCTTTAACCAAATTAATTTTGACTATTTGTGTGTTTCTCAAATTACTCAAACACTGTGAAATGCTTCAAACTCAAATGCCTAAAATGTGACATTGGAAAGGACAGTTAATAATTTCAACCATGTTTACTTTGCTTAAGTTTTTAAAAAATGCTTTTTCTTAACTATTAAGACCATCCTTCCAATCTGACCATTTGGTCCAGGTCCCACTAGTAATTTTAGTAGAAAGTTGTGTGTGTATACAATGTCCCCAAACTTATACAATGCTATTTTTTTTTTATAATAAGCAATACTATAAAGTAGCATGACACTTGCAAAAATCATAATTTATTCCTATATACCTCATCTATTAATATATAAAGCTTACTTGTCCTAGGTTTGTTTTGGTAACAACTTTGTAAGTTAGTCTTAACAAAGCAAGACAAACCATGGATAATAAATTATCTTGTAATAATGCATGTAATTATAGTCAAGATAAATACATTTCAACCATTAAAACCCATTTTATAAGTTAAAAGCAATCAAAACTATGAATAGATTCTTTTGCAAGTGCGTAATTACTGACAAACAGAGCAGATATTTTTTAACGTATTTCCTAAATGTGAGGGAAAAAACAAGTTATTTGCATTCTTCATGAACCTTCAGTAACTTTACGCCAGCAATACTATTTCTGTTGTTGCTTTGAAATGAAGTTCGTGCAATGAACATGATTTATGGGAACACCAATCAAGCATTTGTGTAGCAAGATATACAGCATGTCTTCCTTCAATTTGAACAACAGTGAAACTGACATTATTTCTTCAGTCACCCTAATGTACCGAGATGGCAAGAGTATATGCAATACTACATGAAAGGTTAGTCAAGTATGATTTTTATGAAGTATTATGAAGGAAAAACAGAGAAGAGATCATTGTCAAAAAATTTAAGTGGTAAATTTGAACTTAATGCAGTATGTTACATAAGTGACCACAGAACAACAACAAAAACAGTGGCCTGTTTTACAACAGGAAGAGCAAATAAAGGTTAAGTCATATAAATCACTTTTGTGAACAGGTGTATCACAAGCAATTAAGCAACGTGAAAGTGTTACTTCAATTTAATCCACAAGGCCTTAGCCATAAACTTTTCTCACACAATTTGACTGGAATTGAAGATGGTTAAATAACCAGTAAAAGTCTGTACCATGCCACACAAAATTGAGTTTTTGTTTTTGTTTACATAAGCAAAAATAAATCTTTTTATTTTAGAGGACAATTAAGTCAATGAAGAAAATTCCACAAAATTCAATGCTAATAAGCATGAAAGTCACTACTGTAGAGGACACTGAAAAATTACAGGAAGACATAAGCAGGGTTTTCCAGTGGGCAATGGAGAACAACATGACGTTCAATGGTGATAAGTTCCAGCTGCTTAGGTATGGAAAGAATGAAGAACTCAAAAGGAACACTATATACAAAACTTGAGAGGGTCACCAAATAAAATGAAAGGAACATGTAAAAGACCTGGGAATAATTGTCAGCTGACCTTCCTTTTAAAGAACATAACAAGACAAAGATCACGACAGCCAAGAAGATGACGGGGTGGGTATTGAGAACTTTCAAAACAAGGGAAGTAATGCTGATGGTGACATTCCTCAAAATGCTAGTGCTCCCTCATTTAGAATATTGCTCAGTGCTGACGACCCCGTTCAAAGCAGGAGAAATAGCATTGATGGAACAAATACAGGGATCATTTACGGCTCACACTGAGCCAGTAAAGCACCTAAATTACTGGGAATGCCTTTAAGTCTTGAACATGTACACATTGGAGTGGAGGAGAGAGACATGATAATATATACACGGAAAGCACTCGAGGGCCTGGTTCCAAATCTGCACACTGCCATAACATACTGGAGTGAGAGATATAGGAGGAAGTGCAAAATAAACCCAGTGAAGAGCAGGGGTGCAGTGGGGACAACAAGGGAACACTATATCAATATTCGGGGTCCCAGACTATTCAACATCTTACCAGAAAATATCAGAGGAAACTGGATAAGTATCTTCACCAGGTGCTAGATCAACCAGGCTGTGATGAATATGTAGGGCAGTGGGCCTCCAGCAGCAACAGCCTGGTTGACCAGGCAAGCACCAGATGAGCATGGCCCATAGCCAGGCTCCAAGAGTAGTGAAATTCTCAAAACTCTTCAAAGGTATATCAAAGATGCTACAATTTGGTATCAAAAAAATATAGAACATTGTGTTTAGAGGGCCTTCCCAAAACAAAGAAACAATTTGAAGAAGAGCACTGTAGTAACTTTTTTTTTTTTAAGACAGACCATCTCCCACCAGTGAAGAGTGACCGGAAAAGAAAAAAAAAATTTTTTTTCTCTTTTTACATTTAGTATGTTTGGTAATAAGGAATACAATATAAATGGAACAGTAGATATAAATAAACTCACCTGCAGGACAAACTTCTGATCAATGAAACGTTTGGCAACAGATGGCTGGAAGTCTGGACTTTCTAGAAATCTTAGGAAAAACTCGTACACCAATTGCAAATGAGGCCATGCAGCTTCGAGAGTGGGCTCATCTTCCTCTGGGTCGAACTCTGCTCCTACGGAAAAGCCAAGTAAAGTCATGGGAGACTTTCTGTATATAATGATAATGTTTTTCCCATCACAAGGAATAAAAATCCTGGAGTGTCACTCATACAAGTTTGTTTACGAAGTGCAGCGCAAACAACTTTCTTGCTCCACGAAACAAGAGTTATTTGTTTTTTAACACGCTGGCTGTCTCCCTTCAAGGAAGGGTGACCCAAAAAAGAAACACTTTCACCATCATTCACACTATCACTGTCTTCCCAGAGAGACAGATGCCCCTCTGAACACCAAATATCCCAAACCCCTCAATTAGAGTGCAGGCACTGAACTTCCCACCTCCAGGACTCGAGTTCGGCTAACCAGTTTCCCTGAATCCCTTCACAAAATATTACTTATAAGATCCATTCTGCCTTGCATGGTAAAGGGAGGACATAAGTTGAATTTGGAAGTACAAAACGCAGTTATTGGTCAAAGGAGAGATTCAAAATGAAAGTGCACCCTTCAGAGAAAGGCAGAGTAAATACTTCAGGGTAATGAAAGAAAGTTGAAAAGAAAAGATAGTGTGTTTTCTGATAAATGAGGCAATCTATCAAAAAATGTTGAACTGTTAGTAAGAACTGTGAATTACCATAATGGTACTTGGCACTATTCTGTGATGACAATAGATATTGAATGGTGTGATTAATGCACAGTTGCAAAAGCATGGTTCCCCAAAACTGTAATAGCCAGAAGTCCAACTGTGGTTTGACTGAAACTTACTGCCAGAACTTGAAGAGAAGTCAAAATTAGTTGCTCTGAACATGTGACATAGCCAACACTGAAAGCAAATGACAAGTGTGAGAGACCTGAACCACCTGAAACTCTTAAATTAAGAGTCTGAGCAAATTACGACTGATACAGCAGACAAGGCAGCAATTTTAATTATAGTAAAGGTGCATAAAATTCTGCCATAAAAGTACTGAGTGCAGCTGTATCTCCTGGAAAATGTAATCAGGAAAAGATGCAGCATACCCCATTCCAGATAACTGGGAATCTCTTGTGCATTGCAGGAGTATGACAAGAAATAATAAAGAGCAAGTGTAATTTTAAGTGTAATTTATGGTAGTAGGTTGGTAGACAGCAACCACCCAGGGAGGTACTACCGTCCTGCCAAGTGAGTGTAAAACGAAGCCTGTGATTGTTTTACATGATGGTAGGATTGCTGATGTCTTTTGTCTGTCTCATAAATATGCAAGATTACAGGCATGTCTTGCTACTTCTACTTACACTTAGGTCACACTACACATACATGTACACATTTATTTATACACACTCATCTGAGTTTTCTTTGATTTTATCTTAATAGTTCTTGGTCTTATTAATTTTCCTTTTATATCCATGGGGAAGTGAATAAGAATCTTTCCTCCGTAAGCCATGCGTGTTGTAAAAGTCAACTAAAATCCGCGGAACAATGGGCTAGTAACCCCTTTTCCTGTAAAGATTACTAAAAAGAATAAGAAGAGAAAATTGTCAAAGTGGGAAGTCTGAATGTGCGTGGATGTTGTGCAGATGATAAGAAAGAGATGATTGTGGATGTTATGAATGAGAAGAAGCTGGATGTCCTGGCTTTAAGTGAAACAAAGCTGAAGGGGGTGGGAGAGTTTCAGTGGAGAGGAATAAATGGGATTAGGTCAGGGGTTTCAAATAGAGTTAGAGCTAAAGAAGGAGTAGCAATAATGTTGAAGGATAAGCTATGGCAGGAAAAGAGGGACTATAAATGTATTAATTCAAGGATTATGTGGAGTAAAATAAAGATTGGATGTGAAAAGTGGGTTATAATAAGCGTGTATGCACCTGGAGAAGAGAGAAGTGTAGAGGAGAGAGAGAGATTTGGGAATGTTGAGTGAATGCGTGGGGAGTTTTTGAATCAAGTGTGTGAGAGTAATGGTGGTTGGGGATTTTAATGCTAAAGTGGGTAAAATGTTATGGAGGGAGTAGTAGGTAAATTTGGGGTGCCAGGGGTAAATGTAAATGGGGAGCCTTTAATTGAGCTATGTGTAGAAAGAAATTTGGTAATAAGTAATACATATTTTATGAAAAAGAGGATAAATAAATATACAAGGTATGATGTAGCACGTAATGAAAGTAGTTTATTAGATTATGTATTGGTGGATAAAAGGTTGATGGGTAGGCTCCAGGATGTACATGTTTATAGAGGGGCAACTGATATATCGGATCATTATTTAGTTGTAGCTACAGTTAGAGTAAGAGGTAGATGGGAAAAGAGGAAGGTGGCAACAACAAGTAAGAGGGAGGTGAAAGTGTATAAACTAAGGGAGGAGGAAGTTCGGGTGAGATATAAGCGACTATTGGCAGAAAGGTGGGCTAGTGCAAGATGAGTAGTGGGGGGTTGAAGAGGGTTGGAATAGTTTTAAAAATGCAGTATTAGAATGTGGGGCAGAAGTTTGTGGTTATAGGAGGGTGGGGGCAGGAGGAAAGAGGAGTGATTGGTGGAATGATGAAGTAAAGGGTGTGATAAAAGAGAAAAAGGTAGCTTATGAGAGGTTTTTACAAAGCAGAAGTGTTATAAGAAGAGCAGAGTATATGGAGAGTAAAAGAAAGGTAAAGAGAGTGGTGAGGAGAGTGCAAAAGGAGAGCAGATGATAGAGTGGGAGAGGCACTGTCAAGAAATTTTAATGAAAATAAGAAAAAATTTTGGAGTGAGTTAAACAAGTTAAGAAAGCCTAGGGAAAAATATGGATTTGTCAGTTAAAACAGAGTAGGGGAGTTAGTAGATGGGGAGATGGAGGTATTGGGTAGATGGCGAGAATATTTTGAGGAACTTTTAAATGTTAAGGAAGAAACAGAGGCAGTAATTTCATGCACTGGTCAGGGGAGGTATACCATCTTTTAGGAGTGAAGAAGAGCAGAATGTAAGTGTGGGGGAGGTACGTGAGGCATTACGTAAAATGAAAGGGGGTAAAGCAGCTGGAACTGATGGGATATGACAGAAATGTTAAAAGCAGGGGGGATATAGTGTTGGAGTGGTTGGTACTTTTGTTTAATAAATGTATGAAAGAGGGGAAGTTACCTAGGGATTGGCAAGAGAGCATGTATAGTCCCTTTATATAAAGGGAAAGGGGACAAAAGAGACTGTAAAAAATTATAGAGGAATAAGCTTACTGAGTATACCAGGAAAAAGTGTACGGTAGGGTTATAATTGAAAGAATTAGAGGTAAGACAGAATGTAGGATTGCGGATGAGCAAGGAGGTTTTAGAGTGGGTAGGGGATGTGTAGATCAGGTGTTTACATTGAAGCATATATGTGAACAGTATTTAGATAAAGATAGGGAAGTTTTTATTGCATTTATGGATTTAGAAAAGGCATATGATAGAGTGGATAGAGGAGCAATGTGGCAGATGTTGCAAGTATATGGAATAGGTGGTAAGTTATTAAATGCTGTAAAGAGTTTTTATGAGGATAGTGAGGCTCAGGTTAGGGTGTGTAGAAGAGAGGGAGACTACTTCCCGGTAAAAGTAGGTCTTAGACAGGGATGTGTAATGTCACCATGGTTGTTTAATATATTTATAGATGGGGTTGTAAAGGAAGTAAATGCTAGGGTGTTTGGGAGAGGGGTGGGATTAAATTATGGGAATCAAATTCAAAATGGGAATTGACACAGTTACTTTTTGCTGATGATACTGTGCTTATGGGAGATTCTAAAGAAAAATTGCAAAGGTTAGTGGATGAGTTTGGGAATGTGTGTAAAGGTAGAAAGTTGAAAGTGAACATAAAAAAAGAGTAAGGTGATGAGGGTGTCAAATGATTTAGATAAAGAAAAATTGGATATCAAATTGGGGAGGGGGAGTATGGAAGAAGTGAATGTTTTCAGATACTTGGGAGTTGACGTGTCGGCGGATGGATTTATGAAGGATGAGGTTAATCATAGAATTGATGAGGGAAAAAAGGTGAGTGGTGCGTTGAGGTATATGTGGAGTCAAAAAACGTTATCTATGGAGGCAAAGAAGGGAATGTATGAAAGTATAGTAGTACCAACACTCTTATATGGGTGTGAAGCTTGGGTGGTAAATGCAGCAGCGAGGAGATGGTTGGAGGCAGCGGAGATGTCCTGTTTAAGGGCAATGTGTGGTGTAAATATTATGCAGAAAATTCGGAGTGTGGAAATTAGGAGAAGGTGTGGAGTTAATAAAAGTATTAGTCAGAGGGCAGAAGAGGGGTTGTTGAGGTGGTTTGGTCATTTAGAGAGAATGGATCACAGTAGAATGACATGGAAAGCATATAAATCTATAGGGGAAGGAAGGCGGGGTAGGGGTCGTCCTCGAAAGGGTTGGAGAGAGGGGGTAAAGGAGGTTTTGTGGGTAAGGGGCTTGGACTTCCAGCAAGCGTGCGTGAGCGTGTTAGATAGGAGTGAATGGAGACGAATGGTACTTGGGACCTGACGATCTGTTGGAGTGTGAGCAGGGTAATATTTAGTGAAGGGATTCAGGGAAACCGGTTATTTTCATATAGTCGGACTTGAGTCCTGGAAATGGGAAGTACAATGCCTGCACTTTAAAGGAGGGGTTTGGGATATTGGCAGTTTGGAGGGATATGTTGTGTATCTTTATATGTTTATGCTTCTAGACTGTTGTATTCTGAGCACCTCTGCAAAAACAGTGAAATGTGCGAGTGTGGTGAAAGTGTTGAATGATGATGAAAGTATTTTCTTTTTGGGGATTTTCTTTCTTTTTTGGGTCACCCTGCCTCGGTGGGAGACGGCCGACTTGTTGAAAAAAAAAAAAAAAAAAAAAAAAAAAAAAAAGTGTAATTTCAAAACATGACCTTTAGGGAAATGAAAAGGGAAAGGGCAGATCACTGGGACTTCCAGTGAATGGAGGAAGAGATACAAAACAAGAACAAAGATATTCCAAGTGGGACTGAATCGGATGCATCTCTGTGTTGGTGAAGTAAGACTAATAAAGAGAATAAAAACTGATGAGGAAAAAGAAAGACTCCGAATGGCTTTGAACAAATTGCAAGATTGACTGGCTATGTAAGAATGATTGGCTAAGTGATTGCTTGAATTCAATCCCAGCAAATGTAAGGTTATGAAGACCAATGAAGGAGCCAGAAGACCAGAAAGAGTATAGGCTTCAGGAAAAGACTTCACTCAAAGAGAAAGAACTAGGGAAAGACCATAGTATATCCCCAGAGGCTCACATCAGCCAAATAACCTCTGCAGGGAATGCTCATCTGGCATACCTTACAGTAGTAGCCTTCAGGAATCTCAACAAAGTCATTCCAAGCCATTTAAACAAAAGTCAGGTCATCTTGGAGTATACAGCACCAGTATGGAATCCACACCTGAAAAAGCATGTTAAGAAACTGTAGCATGAGCTACTTGTAGCTCATGCTACAAGTAGATGCTAATGGAACTGAATCTAATGAAATTGCAGGACAGAAGAACCAAGTGAGATATGATAATAGCATGCAAAATATTCAGGGAAACTGATAGGGTAGACAGAAATAGGCTGTTTGAGAGGCAAGAAACAGGAGCTTGGGAATGCAGCTGAAAGTTAAAGATAGATGAGCTACAGCAATGTAAGAATATATTTCTTTGGTCTCGAGAGTAGTTGGGAAGTGGAATGATCTTGATGAAGTAGTTTGAAGAGCAGGTATGATAGGACCATGAGGTTAGGAAGGAGTGAATCAAGTGGCAGGCTGAGGGGCTGAGCCAGGAGACAGGACTCAACCCCTGCTGCAAGTATAGATGACTGTACATGCTCACACACACACACACACACACACACACACCACACACAACACAACACACACACACACACACACACACACACACACACACATGCATGCACACACATGTGCACATGCACACACACTCATGCACATATGCACACAGGGGTCAGTCCTAGGACTGGTGCTATTTCTGCTGTTTGTTACTGCATGTGAATGCAGACAATGTGAAGTTAATGAGAATTCAATCAGAGGAGGATCAGGCAGGACTACAGGAGCCAGTTTCTGGACAGGCTGCAGGCCTGGTCCAGAAACTGGCTCCTGGAGTTCAACCTCATTAAGTGCGAAGTCATGAAGATTGGGGAAGTGCAAAGACCACAGAGAGAGTACAGTTTAGGAGGGCCAAAGACTACAAATCTCACTCAAGGACAGCAATCTTGGGGTGAGTATAATACCGAGCACATCTGAGGCGCATATCAAGCAAGTAACTGTTGCAGCATATGGGCACCTAGCAAACCTAAGAATAGCATTCTGACATCTCAGTAGGGAATCGTTCAGGACTCTCTACACCGTGTACATCAGGCCCACATTGGAGTATGCAGCACCAGTTTGGAATCCACACCTGGCGAAGCATGTCAGGAAATTAGAAAAAGTGCAAAGGTTTGCAACGTGGCTAGTCCTGGAGCTAAGGGGCATGTCCTATGAGGAGGGGTTAAGGAAAATCGACCTGACGACACTGGAGGACAGGAGAGAGAGGGGGGATATGACAATGACATAAAATACTGAGAGGAATTGACAAGGTGGACAGAGACAGGATGTTCCAGAGATGGGACACAGCAACAAGGAGTCGCAATTGGAAGTTGAAGACTCAGACGAGTCACAGGGATGTTAGGAAAGTATTTCTTCAGTCACAGAGTTGTCAGGAAGTGGAATGGTCTGGAAAGTAATGTAGTGGACACAGGATCCATACATAGCTTTAAGAAGAGTTATGATGAAGCTCATGAAGCAGAGAGAGTGATCTAGTAGCAACCAATGAAGAGGCAGGGCCAGGAGCTGTGGATACGCGAGTACATACATACACGCACACCCACACATTTATATAAAAGACTGATTATTATGAAAATAAATGGTATAAAATACCAACAATATGGAAACAAACACATATGCAGTTTAATGTGATACTTTATTGACAACGTTTCATCCACACAGTGGGCTTTTTCAAGTCGCAAACAGATCTACCTGGGGTGGAAGGTACGGGAGCATTTATAGTCAGGTTCAGAATGTTGAGGTCAGGTGGAGAATGCTGCATCTGATGATCCACTGGGTTGGATTATAGAGTCTTGGGTAGCTTGGCGGGGGTATTGGACAAGTTGTGAATAGACCTACTGCAGTGTTCTATGTTCTTATGTGGGATAGCGATGAAGAAGTTTCTTGGCAAGTGGTTCAGCTATGTTATAGAAGCCATTGTTCTGGTTGAAATTGTTGGTTATAGAGATAAGCGATGATTCCAGGATTCTTCGGTATTGAGTGTTGTCTTCTGTGGCGTTAAGTCTTGAGTTTCTGTAGTTAATTAAATGGTTGTGTGAATTGCGATGTTGTACACAGGCATTCCTTGTATCGTCAGTTCTGCTTGCGTATTGGTGTTCTGAAATACGTGTTTGGAGGTCTCTTGATGTTTCGCCCACGTATAATTTGTTGCAGTCATTACAAGGGATTATGTATACCCATGCACTATAATTGAACAAGTATTTTCAAAACTCCACTATCCTCGTCACTTCATCAGAGACTGCAGACGGCGGGCATTAAACATCTTCAACACACCCAGAGAAGACAATGCCGAGAAGAGATACATAGTCCTCCCCACCAACTCCATTGCCAAACATGTTTCCAACATCTTTTCCAATACATCATTCCAAGTATCTACCTCCACAACCACGACCATCAAGGACATCACCAGTAGTAGACAAGACAAGCTTCCATCCTCTGCAGGGGTATACATAATCTCTTGTAATGACTGCAACAAATTATACGTGGGCGAAACATCAAGAGACCTCCAAACACGTATTTCAGAACACCAATACGCAAGCAGAACTGACGATACAAGGAATGCCTGTGTACAACATCGCAATTCACACAACCATTTAATTAACTGCAGAAACTCAAGACTTATCGCCACAGAAGACAACACTCAATACCGAAGAATCCTGGAATCATCGCTTATCTCTATAACCAACAATTTCAACCAGAACAATGGCTTCTATAACATAGCTGAACCACTTGCCAAGAAACTTCTTCATCGCTATCCCACATAAGAACATAGAACACTGCAGTAGGTCTATTCACAACTTGTCCAATACCCCCGCCAAGCTACCCAAGACTCTATAATCCAACCCAGTGGATCATCAGATGCAGCATTCTCCGCCTGACCTCAACATTCTGAGCCTGACTATAAATGCTCCCGTACCTTCCACCCCAGGTAGATCTGTTTGTGACTTGAAAAAGCCCACTGTGTGGGTGAAACGTTGTCAATAAAGGATCACATTAAACTGCATATGTGTTTATGTTTCCAGACTGATTATTATACTGATATAACTTCAAAACATACCTGACGGATTGCTAGAAGGTGGTAAGGTTCGGAATAAATTAACAGCAAACATTTGGACCACTTCAGGGTATACAGGTTCCGTGATTACTTGGCGTTGCGTCGTCACATACTCTACCATTTCATTGAGAGCTGCCCGTTTTACCTCTTTCCATTTAAGGTCACTGAGAGGATCCGTTATAAAATCGAATATAACACCACACTGCCGAATCTTCTGAATAAATAGTTCTTCCCGCTCGTTTGGTTGAGCATCTGCAAAATAATTTTAACCAAGTCAATCACTTGCAACACTAACAGAAGCAATAAAGCAACATCCATCCAATTTGGAATTCTGTTTTTTGTAATATATGCATTTTTTTGGGTATGTGCTTTTTTTTTTAATGTGTGCAGGTTATTAGCGCATTGTTCCAGTTACAGTATTGTGCCTTTTTATTCTGCTTCCTTATACATATGTATCTGAAAAACCAGGAAGTTTCTGCTAGCATAGCTATCATAACCAAAATACAGTACACAGTATACATGTACATGTTTCCCACTAAGGCAGGGTGACCCAAAAATGAAGAAACACTTCCAATCATCATTCACTCCATCACTGTCTTGCCAGAGGCACACCTACACTACAGTTAAAAAAACTGCAACATCAACACCCCTTCTTCAGAGTGCAGGCACTGTACTTCCCACCTCCAGGACTCAAGTCCAGCTTGCCGGCGTCCCTGAATCCCTTCTTAATGTTACTTTGTTCACACTCCAACAGCACATCAAGTCATCAAATCCATTCATCACCACTCGCTCCTAACACACTTGCTAGAAGTCCAAATCCCTCGCACACAAAACCTCCTTTACACCCCACTCCCTCCAACCCTTCCTAGGCCGACTCTTTCCCAACCTTCCTTCCACTATAGATTTATATACTCTCCAAGTCACTCTGTTTTATTCAATCCTCTCTAAATGTCCAAACCACCTCAATAACCCCTCTTCAGCCTTCTGGATAAAACTTTTAGTAATCCCACACCTCCTAATTTTCAAATTACAGATTCTTTGCATTATATTCACACCACACATTGCCTCCAGCCTTCTCCTTGTTGCAATATTCACTACCCATACTGCACACCCATATAAGAGTGTTGGTATAACTATACTCTCATACATTCCCCTCTTTGCTTCCACAGATAAAGTTCTATGTCTCCACAGACTCCTCAATGCACCCTTCACCTTTTTCCCCTTATCAGTTCTATGATTCATCTCATCTTCATGAACCCATGTGCTGACAAATCCACTCCCAAATATCTGAATACATTCATTTTTTCCATACTCCCTCCCTCCAATTATTAAACGCTTACCTCGAAGTGATGGAAGCTTCTGTAGTTCTCTGTTCTTGGGGATGTTAAATCGCGATGATGACTGCCGCTTGTCCTTTTTGATGAGGGGAGCACCAGGGCCAAACTTAATTTTATTAATCTGTGTAGGGGGAGGAAGGCCATCCTTAATGGATGCAGCAGAGCCCAAAGGCCCATCAATTCCACCAACAACTGGCTGTTGTTGCTGATCATCTTCCTGTGGCTGCTGCTGCGGCTCATTTGGTGACAGCTGCTGCTGCTGCTGTTGCTGCTGATCATGTTGGTGATATGGAAGTGATGGTGAGGATGACAGAGGTAGTGATGGTGGAGGTAGTGGAGTGATGGAGGCAGGAGCACAGCAGCAAGTTGTTGTAGTTGTGGTTGTTGTTGTTACCATCAGCGGAGCCACGTACGTACAACACCAAGCAACACACACACACAGAGAGAACAGCAGTTAGTTTTAGTAGAAGAGACAACAAAAAGTACTACTTCTCAAAGTCAATGCAACAAAATCTTACTTGATTCCATCATAGTTTTTTGGATGGAATCAACAAATAAAATACAGGATGATGGAAAGATCATGGAAGCTTAAGACATCCTATCAAGCTGAATGGATGACGCAGTATCTCCAAACCTTGAAATTAGCTTGATAAATGTGATTAAGTTACTCTTAGAAACAAGGATAAGACATAGCAAATTCAAGTAAAAAAAAAAAAATTTGTTGCCAGTTATTCAGAGTAAATAAAGTCAAGGTAACACAGCACCTTGAATACTGTGTTGTACTCCTTGGATATTAAAACTATTACTGTGGTTATTATTATTATTACTATTATTGTAAATTTCTTGCTATGTCTCAATAGAAAGGCACTCGCATGCTTTTCCCAAAGAACTGAGCCAACAATATAATGAACACAACATAATAAACTTAGAAATAATTGAAGAATCTGACTGACTGCAAGAACTATCAAATATGTATACATTAGTCAGATCAGATGATGATGGAAGTGAAAGGTATCAATATAAAGCTAAAAAAAAAAAAAAAAACTACCAAACACTGAATAAATTAGTGTGCATGTGTATAATTATCTATTTAACAAGAGATGAGCTCTAGCTGTTGATCCTGCCTTTTAACTTTCAGATGATTGAATGAAATATCCCTTTTCATATCTACAGTATTTTTCAGCCCCAGTAATGAATTCATAATCAGTGTCATTGTTCAGTTTAGTTCACTTCACTCCTCTTCTGATAAGTATTTTGGCTCATTTGTATTTATGATTTCAATCAATCAATCATTCATGTATGTATGTATATGTGCATGCATGTATGCATGTATATGTATATGCATGTATATGATATGCATGTATGCATGTATATGTATATGCATGTATGCATGTATATGTATATGCACACATATATAAATATATATATATATATATATATATATATATATATATATATATATATATATATATATATATATATATATATATATATATATATATATATAATATATAATATTATATATATATATATAAATACAGTATATACATATATATATATATTTTCAACAAGTCGGCCGTCTCCCACCGAGGCAGGGTGACCCAAAAAAGAAAGAAAATCCCCAAAAAGAAAATACTTTCATCATCATTCAACACTTTCACCTCACTCACACATTATCACTGTTTTTGCGGAGGTGCTCAGAATACAACAGTTTAGAAGCATATACGTATAAAGATACACAACATATCCCTTCAAACTGCCAATATCCCAAACCCCTCCTTTAAAGTGCAGGCATTGTACTTCCCATTTCCAGGACTCAAGTCAGACTATATGAAAATAACCGGTTTCCCTGAATCCCTTCAATAAATATTACCCTGCTCACACTCCAACAGATCGTCAGGTCCCAAGTACCATTCGTCTCCATTCACTCCTATCTAACACGCTCACGCACGCTTGCTGGAAGTCCAAACCCCTCGCTCACAAAACCTCCTTTACCCCCTCTCTCCAACCCTTTCAAGGACGACCCCTACCCCGCCTTCCTTCCCCTATAGATTTATATGCTTTCCATGTCATTCTACTTTGATCCATTCTCTCTAAATGACCAAACCACCTCAACAACCCCTCTTCTGCCCTCTGACTAATACTTTTATTAACTCCACACTTTTTCCTAATTTCCACACTCCGAATTTTCTGCATAATATTTACACCACACATTGCCCTTAGACAGGACATGTCCACTGCCTCCAACCATCTCGCTACTGCATTTACCACCCAAGCTTCACATCCATATAAGAGTACAGTGGACCCCCGCTTAACGATCACCTCCAAATGCGACCAATTATGTAAGTGTATTTATGTAAGTGCGTTTGTACGTGTATGTTTGGGGGTCTGAAATGGACTAATCTACTTCACAATATTCCTTATGGGAAAAAATTCGGTCAGTACTGGCACCTGAACATACTACTGGAATGAAAAAAGTTCGTTAACCGGGGGTCCACTGTATTGGTACTACTATACTTTCATACATTCCCTTCTTTGCCTCCATAGATAACGTTTTTTGACTCCACATATACCTCAACGCACCACTCACCTTTTTTCCCTCATCAATTCTATGATTAACCTCATCTTTCATAAATCCATCTGCCGACACGTCAACTCCCAAGTATCTGAAAACATTCACTTCTTCCATACTCCTCCTCCCCAATTTGATATCCAGTTCTTCTTTGTCTAAATCATTTGATACCCTCAACACCTTACTCTTTTCTATGTTCACTTTCAACTTTCTACCTTTACACACATTCTCAAACTCATCCACTAACCTTTGCAATTTTTCTTTAGAATCTCCCATAAGCACAGTATCATCAGCAAAAAGTAACTGTGTCAATTCCCATTTTGAATTTGATTCCCCATAATTTAATCCCACCCCTCTCCCGAACACCCTAGCATTTACTTTTTTTACAACCCCATCTATAAATATATTAAACAACCATGGTGACATTACACATCCCTGTCTAAGACCTACTTATACCGGGAAGTATTCTCCCTCTCTTCTACACACCCTAACCTGAGCCTCACTATCCTCATAAAAGCTCTTTACAGCATTAGTAACTTACCACCTATTCCATATACTTGCAACATCTGCCACATTGCTCCTCTATCCACTCTATCATATGCCTTTTCTAAATCCATAAATGCAATAAAAACTTCCCTACCTTTATCTAAATACTGTTCACATATATGCTTCAATGTAAACACTTGATCTACACATCCCCTACCCACTCTGAAGCCTCCTTGCTCGTCCGCAATTCTACATTCTGTCTTACCTCTAATTCTTTCAATTATAACCCTACCGTATACTTTTCCTGGTATACTCAGTAAACTTATTCCTCTATAATTTTTACAATCTCTTTTGTCCCCTTTCCCTTTATATAAAGGGACTATACATGCTCTCCGCCAATCCCTAGGTACCTTCCCCTCTTTCATACATTTATTAAACAAAAGTACCAACCACTCCAACACTATATCCTCCCCTGCTTTTAACATTTCTGTCATGATCCCATCAGTTCCAGCTGCTTTACCCCTTTCATTCTACGTAATGCCTCACGTACCTCCACCACACTTACATTCTGCTCTTCCTCACTCCTAAAAGATGGTATACCTCCCTGGCCAGTGCATGAAATTACCGCCTCCCTTTCTTCCTTAACATTTAAAAGTTCCTCAAAATATTCTCGCCATCTACCTAATACCTCCCTCTCCCCATCTACTAACTCCCCTACTCTGTTTTTAACTGACAAATCCATACTTTCCCTAGGCTTTCTTAACTTGTTTAACTCACTCCAAAATTTTTTCTTATTTTCATTAAAATTTCTTGACAGTGTCTCTTCCACTCTTTCATCTATTTTATATATATATATATATATATATATATATATATATAAATATATAATATATATATATATATATATATATATATATATATATATATATATATATATTAATTATATATGAATGAGCCCTATCTTACTTGCTCCTAAAACTACTTCCTCACCAAGATCATTCCACTTTTCAAACACTCTGAGATTTCCTAACATCCCTGTGACTCATCTATGCCTTTAACTTCCCATGGTATCCCTGAGTTCTTGTTTTTCACTTCTCAAATAGCTTATCCTTGTCTATCTTATCAATTTCCCTGAGTACATTTTTGTTATGTCCCTACTGGTTCTTCTGTCCTTAGGTCCAATTCCATTGGCTTCTCCTCATAGTTCATGCCCCTTAGTTTAACTAAGGAGCATGAATCTTGCTGCATACTTCTGCACTTTCTCAACTAAGGGGCATGAATCTTGCTGCATACTTCTGCACTTTCTCCAGTTTTTCAACATGCTTCCTCTAGAGTGGGTTTCATACTGGTGTTGCATATTCTAAGATGGGTCTGACATGTTGTATAAAGCACCCTGAATGACTCTCTTGCTGAGTTGAAGGCAGCTCTCAGATTTACCAGACAAACACTGGCTACGGAAGTTATTTGGCTGATTCGAGTCTTTTGTGATATGATAGGGACTATGCTCACTCCCAGGTCCTCTATGAATGAGGTCTGCAGCCTCTGTCCCCTCTGGGTATATACTGTCTGATTTTCTGGCCCTTTCCCTCATCTTCATAACCTTGCATATGCTAAGGTTGAATTGAAGCAAACACTTACCTGACCAACCCTGCAGTTTGTCCAGATACTTTTGCAACCTTTCCCTGTCCTTATGTTTGTATTCTCTTTTTTAGTTTTACATCATCAGTGAACAGAGATGCATCTGACTCAATGGCATGTTATTCACATCAGACAGCACTGGTCCTCATACTGATCTGTATGGAACATCTCATGTTACTCTTCCCCATTCTGACATCTTTTCCCAGGCAATCACTCTTTGCTTCCTTCTCCTAAGGTACTCCTTGATCCACTTGAGTACATTCCCAGTTATTCCTGTTTCTCAAGTTCTTGCCCCCAGTCTCATGGGGGTGCAGTATCAAATGCCTTCTTACAGTCTAAGAAAATGCTATCCACCTAACCCTCTGTCTCACTACTGTTACTTTGTTGTAGAATTCCAAAATGCAGGTAAGACAAGACCTGTCACCTCTGAGCCCATGCTGGTTGTTTTTTTATGAAAACCACTTCTCTCCAAGTGATCTATTACCCTCCAACTATCTTTTCCATCACCTTGTATGGTATTTATGTCAGCAAAACTGGCCTGTAGTTCAATGCCTCCTGCCTAACTCCTTTCTTGA